AAAAAAAAAGGAAAGATGAGCATTCCTTCCAAGGTAGAATTATTAGTGACAAGTGATTTTCAAGAAAGCGAAACTAAGATCCAGAAAGTTAAACTTCCCACAAGTCACATGGAAACCCACCCAAAAGGTGGGATTAGAAATGAAGAGGCCAGTATCAACAAATTAAGATATAAGGGGCCCTCACAAGGCCCAGGAGACCAGGGCAGGGTAAGGTGGGGGTGCACGGCCAACAGTCACAGGAAAGGGCAGAGGCTGCCAGTCCTACCCCTGAACCCCAGCTTGAGAGGCTGGCCTTCGGGCTTCCATGGGCAAGGAGCCTGCAGGACCAAGGGGACGGCATGTCTGAGTGTATACCAAGGTCCCTTATGATGGGTGAACCCTGGGTGGGTTGAGAGCAGCTCCTCCCACGTCTGAGGGGTCTGAGGATTCTAAATCCGAGCGTGGCTTTCAGGCCATAATAACAACGAGCAAGGCGGGAGGACAGAAGATATTTCATTAATAGTCTGTTGGCTTAATCTGCAACTTTTAAGTACTCGGATAAGCAGTATATGGCCTCCACTTGTATTTCCATCCTGGGCCACAAGTATGAGGGGTGGGCCTAAGGGAGACCGTTTAAGGGTTGGGGAGGCGCTCACCTTCATCATGGAAACCTAGTCTGCTCTTTGGCCCAGGTAGGAGGTACAGGGCCTGTATCCTGGGGACCCTGCATGTCTGGCCCTGCTAACAAGATGGCCTTGACACATGGAGGCCAGGTACCCAAGAATGTTTGCTAGATGAATGGGTTGGTTTGGCACTGTCCGTTTTTCAACAAGCTTCTGCTCTGCCCTCTTGATATTCCACTGGGCAATCTCAGGAGGCACAGCAGAAGGGGAAATGGGTGCTCAGTGCTGCTACAGAAAATGCCAGAGAGTTCAGCACTTGGGCTGGGACAGTGACCTCTCAGGAGGGGACCACTGATTCAGTAGGTTGGCATGCTTTTAAGGCTCCCACCATGCCATGTCAAAGTCAGATTGCTTCTAAAAGACTCGGGGACTCAAAAATCACTAGGAATGTATAACCAGGCTTACCACACTCCTAGAAGGAACTATAACAATAATAATAATAAAAATATATATATAAATAAAATATTCTAATAGAAGTACAGAATAGACTGGCTTAATTAGTATTTCTTTGGGGGGGGGGTTAGGTAATTAGGTATTTATTTATTTATATGGA